CGTGCGTGCGTGCGTGCGTGCGTGCGTGCGTGTGCGTGCGTGTGTGCGTGTGCGTGCGTGCGTGCGTGCGTGCGTGCGTGCGTGCGTGCGTGCCTGTGTGTGCGCGCGTGTGATGTGGTGTGACGCGGTGTAGCGTGGTGGTGGTGGGTGGGTAGTGCGGTGGTGGTGGCGGTGCGCGGTGGTGGTGCGCGTGCGTGCGTGCGTGCGTTGGTGGGTGGAAGTGGCGGTGGGTGTGCGTGCGGCGGGGCGGGGCGTGGTGCGGCGCGGTGATGGCGGGCGGATGGGTGCGCGAGAAAAAGGCCCGCGCTGGGGCGAAAACGCCATCCTGAACGACGGAGGCAAAACACCGATCCGACAATGAGGCCCACGCTGCAGCGGGAACACGACCCGGAACGATTCGGGAGCAAAAATGAGGCCGGCGCCTCAGCGAGAGCAGCATTTCGAAAAAAACCCATGCGAAAACCCATTTCCGGGGAATCGTGTGTGTAAAAAAACAGTACGCGGGGGGGGGGGCGAATACGCAAAAGACGTCATCAGGGGAAGAGGAAGAGTAGTATTCATATTGAGTAATTGTGGAGGGGTGGGGTCTGCCAAATGTCCCACACGCCTCCTCGCCCCGGGCATGCGGGGGTTGGGGGATGACGGGAAGCGCCTTCGAGGTACGAGAAGCGAGCTGGACGTTATGCCTGAGTTTGCATCATGTTTAATGATCTCGTAATACAGGGTGGCTGGCCGCACGGCGCGCAGGCTTAGCAGATGACGGGAAACGTGTTTAGACTCGAAGAGTCGCGCGATGGACATTTGTCAAGGGGGGGGTCAGGGGGGCAGTGGTGACGTGATTCCCCCTGGAAGCTCTCCTGGCAGATGACGGGAAGCGCGCTTAGTCTCGAAGAGTCGCGCGATGGACGTCGCACCCAGGCCTGGAGGGGAAACATTTATCAAGTGGGGGGGTCCAGGGGGGGAGTGGTGACGGGATCGCGTCTTGACCGGGATACGGCGGATGACGGGAAGCGCGCTTAGACTCGCAGAGTCGCGCGATGGACGTTGGTTACAGGCCCGGAGGGGGAAACATTTATCAAGTGGGGGGTCCAGGGGGGGAGTGGTGACGGGGTTCCCCCTTGATCGGGACCTGGCGGATGACGGGAAGCGCGCTTAGCGCCGAAGTGGCACCGACAACACATATTGAGCTCTCTGCAGGCTTGGCAGCGCTGGTCCACGGCAGGGGCGGAGGCCCCAGGCAGCGGCTGCCCAGTGACCACCGCCATCAGCGACGCCCTGCGTTTCCAGGACCGCGTGCACCACGCCATCGCCTCCATGGATCACCTACAGTTGGTGCTTGGCGCCTATGACGCCGCCGTGGAGGAGAACGTGGCCGAGAGCATCTTGCTGCAGGTCCCTGCTGCCCCCCAGGCGGCGTCCGCTGTCAGCGTGGCCTTGGCGAGAGCAAGGCCAAAACGAAGCTGAGCATGGACCGCGCGGTGGAGTCGTACAACTCCGAGGGCAAGACCGCCAAGGCGGCAGCCGCGGAGGTGGGAGAGGCGCACGGGGGGCACCCGCAGGGCAGGCGCCCCGATGCCCTGCTCCGAACGGACCTGTACCACCAACAGTTGGCACTTCGAGGGCACGGAACCGCCCTGAAGGAGGACAAAACCGAGAACGATCAACAGCAGGTCCAGATGGCCTCGAAGGCGGTGGCCGCTGCTGGCGAGAAGGCCCCCCCTAATGCACCCGTGCCACGCGGAGCGCTGCTTCGTGGTAGATTGCCAGGACAGCGTGGAGGAGGGCAAGGTTCGCTGGATCGGAGCGACTGACCGTCACCGCGTGTTGATCGTATCCATCCCACAACTTTGTGGGACGTTGAAGTGGCAGGAGCTTGCGGGACTTATGATCGACGACTACCGTTCTCCTCGCACCGCGCAGTGGGCTCAAGGAAGTGAAGTAGACTGGGATGTTAGGTTTACTTCAGGTGAGTCCACCAGGCTGCATGCACCAGCGCTCACTTCGTCAGGAAATCCTGCTGCAGGCGCCTGGTTTAGTTCCCCCCCCAGCGCTTGTGCCTCTTCGTCCGCCCCCCTTCCTTCTCGGCCCGCTGCGTTGGTGACTTTGAGTTTGGCTCGGCCCGCAGCCCTGCCCTCGTATAGCCTGGAGCGTTGCCGACCTCGCGTTGCTGGTCGGGCGGCTCCCGCTATGCTGCGCGTTGCTTTTCCTGCGCACGATGTGTTGCGCCGTTTAAAAATCGGTGCTCGCCGCCAGCCCGAGGCCAGAGTGTCGCGTACTGACGTGAGGGCTTTCCACCAGTGGACGGTGAGCTTCGTATGTTGCGTGCGTGGGCGCGCGCGCGCGCGGGCCGACCTTGCGGTTGGCTCTGTGAATGCTCGCGAGACCTCCATTTGTGGGGTTGCGTTTTCAGAAAAAACGCGCTCAGACTCGCAGAGTCGCGCGAGGGACGTCGGTTGCAGGCCCGGAGGGGAACGCGTTTATCAAGTGGGGGGGTCCAGGGATGGAGTGGTGGCCGGTGTGCGATCGCTGTTGGCGACCCACGATCGGTCGAAGTTGAACGATCTGACGTTTCGGAAATGGCTCATCGTCTAAGGTTGAACGATCCCCGCGGTGTCAGTAACCAACGCCGGGGTCGACGCGGCACGAGCCTGTCGCAGGTGGCTGGCCGGCCCATAGCCCCCCCCAACGGGCACTGCCGAGACGCTGAAGTAAGGGCCGCTTTGTGTTCGGAAGGGGCTCGCGTACCTGAGGTCTTTCCTAGGCTGTTCCTCCAGCTCCCCTCGTGCATCCAGGCGCGTCCGGGGCCAGAACAAGGGGCCCAGTTCCTCGTTTAGCGCTCCTTCTTGTAGTAACGCGACTGTAGCAATGATCTTTTTGGCGTTCCTTCTGGTAGTGCTTCGGTTGCTGACATACTCTGAGAACTCTTCGTGGCCCGTGCCACATGTTACTAAGGTGTGTCTGGACTGTTCCATGCTTTATGGTAATCGGCCCCATGTCAAGCGCAGTTTTGTGAGGCGTCGTGCGCATGCCATAATGACAGTGTTTCTGTTGTCGGAACATGCGTCAGCTCTAAGAACATGTCGTGGCAGGCTTGCTTGGGCCACCTGGGATCCGATTCGATGCGATTCCGATACCATTCGATTTGGATCGATTCACCGACATCGGTCGTTGCCAGCCAAAGCGGGGTGCGGCTATTCGATTTTAGTCGGAGTCGGGGCGATCCGTTGGCGATCCGATCCGTTTCCCGTTCCTCATCCGATCCGATTTCGTGATTCGATCTGGCGCAGGCCTGACTGCAAAATACCGGGACGGTCGGCCCAAGGTCAAGCAGTGACTACGTGTTCTGGCATGCCCATAAGCCCCTTGAAGCATATTCCCAGATTTTGTATTCAGGATCGCATCAGGCATTCTCAGAATGTTTGGTTCACGCAGCCTTGTTTTTCAGGCGGGTGGTTTCTTCTTCTGAACACATGGGTCTTGTTATGCATTTTCCATTGGGAGACAAGCGTTCAGCTGCGCCGGCATTCTCTCGCGAGCTGCCCGCGGCAGGCCGCTCGTAGGTGCCTTCGCTTCCGAGGCAACGCGCCGCGTTGGCGGCCAGCGTAGGCCTCCGCGTAAGGTCGCTGTGCCATCTCGCGTAAGACCCGGTTCTGACTGTCGCGAAGGTCGTTGGGAACCTCGAGATGGGGGTCTATGCAAACGGGGGTCAGTCAGGGCACCGGATCCTGCAGGATCCTGCGAAGACCCCCTCTGGCTGACCCGGGTTAGCGAGCCGCTCGTGGCCGCGAGGCGGCCGCGCATATTGGGTGACCCGGGTTTGCGAAGACCTGCGTTGCATTTTTTTTTGTCCTGCATTTCAGTTTTTTGGTTTCCTGCTGACCCGGGTCTGGATTGACCCGGGTCAGGAGATCCCCGAGGTCGTGGTAGGCTCAAATCGGGCCTGTCCCCTTACAGGGGGAATGTGCCAGAATAGACAAAAAGTAGTCTGGGGACTATTTTTGGACCATTTTTGGAATTTTTTGGGCCCATTTGGGGGACACTTTTTGAATATTTTTTGTTTTTCGTCTAACAAGATCCCCCTGTAGGAGGACAGGCCCGCATAGTAAGGATGGGCAACCTTCCCAAGGGTGCCCTTGCATCCTTGCCTCCTCGGTCCATCCTTCGCCGCTTTCGTCGGCCGCGGCCCGCTCCAAATGCTTCGAAATGGGCGTCCAAGGCCCTTGCATCCTTCTCGCGCATCCTTATTATACGGGTTGACTGTAGGCTTATGTCGGGCGTGTCCCCCATACAGGGGGATTTTCGACGAACAAAATTATCCCAGTGCGACCCTACCTAGGAGTTGGAGGATCTAGGAAAGCAACATCTATATGAAGCTAAGCTAAGCTAAGATGAGGCTAAGCTAAGATGAAATAAGCTAAGCTAAGATGAGATAAGCAACGCTAGGCTAAGGGAACGTCACTGGGGGAACCGCGGGGCGGATGCTGGGGGAACCGCCCGGGGCGAGTTGCACTGCCCGGCCCTTTAAGTTTACCGAGTAAGAACCCTTCTAGGCAGAACCTAGGTAGGGAAATACCCAAAAAATACACCACAAAGCTCCAACAATACTAAAAAAATAGTCCCTGGACTATTTGTGGATTATTTTTTGATTATTTTTGGTGTATTTTTTATTTTTCGTCGAAAATCCCCCTGTAGGGGGACAGGCCCGACATAACTGTAGGCCTCGAGGGAAACCGGGACGCTCGGCCCCTGCTCCGCAGGTGCTGGCCGCCCCCGGCCCGGGCGGCGCGCTCGGCGCCGGCGCGCCAGATCTGCCGCCGGGCGGCTCGCCGGCCGCGCAGGTTCGCCGAGCGCGTTCCACTACTCGCAAAGTCTAAGTGCCTATTCGCAAACGTCGAACAAAAACAGGTTTTCATTTATGGGATGTATCGTAAAGCTCCCACGGCGCATCCAGGCCATTCGCGAGTAGTTACTTTTTGCGAGTAGTGGAACGCGCTTGTCCACAGGTGGCCGCGCAGGTGGCCGCGCTGGCGGCGCAGGCTTGCCATCGGGGCGATCGAACTGGGTCATCAGAGGAGGAAAAGATACCCATATCTCTACCCTTCGCTCGTTTTCCCCTTTTTGGGGCCTCTTGGGCGGCCCTCGTCGCCACCGCTGGATGCGCCTCGAAATCCTGGCCAGAACGCACCCCAGGAGAGGTCCGGGGAGTAGCGGTGTCGGTACCTTTTTGCATCCCCAGGTACGGACAGAATAGGTACACAGACCAACAGCAGTTCCTGTCCATCTTGACAAGGACTCTCTGTCGGTGTCGCCGCGGACGTTGTCCATTCGAGGCAGAGGGCCGCTTGCCTGCCAGCGGCCGCTGCTGGTTTCGGACAAGATTCGTTGATGGGCATATATTGTTCCCATGTTTTCCGTACTCTTTTCAGGTCTCCAAATGCCATGACACAATTTGTGTATCTCTTGGCCACAACCGAAGAACCTCGAGGCCTCCCAGATGGGACCGGCGGTGAGGCTCGATGTTGGCCACGCCGATGGCGTGATCGGCGTGATGCATCGGCGACGTCGGCGATGCATCGGCGCCGTCGGCGTGGAGAACATCGAGCTCCACATCGAGCCTCATCGGCGATGCATCGCTGATGCCTAGGGAGCCCCCATCCCTTCCCCCTACCCCTAAGTCGGGCTTATTCCTCTACAAGGGGGATATTCCAAAATAGTTAAAAAAGAGTCGGGGGACGATTTTTTGATTATTTTTTGACCGTTTGGGGGTATTTTTGGAGTATTTCCCAACCCTCGTTGGTTGGGTATTGGTTTTGAATAAAGCACTGCGGTCTCCAGTTCTCCTCCTCCTTCTCCTCCCGCCTCCTGTCTCCCGCTCCCCTCTTGTCTCTCTCCTATTGCCTTGCGCGAACCTGGCCGTCCCTGGGGGGCTGAGATCTGCGACACTGTCGCCACTTTCGAGGGCTGCTGGTGTGTCCTTCGGAGTGAGGCACCGCGGGGATCTGAGCGGGACCTCGCCGTCCCTGGGGGGCTGCGATCTGCGACATTGTCGCCACTTTACAGGGCTGCTGGTGGGTCCTGCGGAGTGAGGCACCGCGGGGACCTGAGCGGGACCTCGCCGTCCCTGGGGGGGCTCTGGAGAGCTGCTGTGGGATACGTTAGGCGCAACGGGCGCATGGCACAGCCAACGGGGGTGATTTGTGAAACAGACCATCTGCCGGGCGATGGCCATAATGTTGCGCCTACACGTGTCCCGCGGGGGCTCTCATGAGCTGCTGTGGGATACGTTGGGTGCAACGGGCGCATGGCACAGCCAACGGGGGTGATTTGTCATTACGTAGCCCTTAGATCTTGATCGGGGGCCTGCGAGCCTTCCGATTGCTGCTCGCAAAATCATATGCGTCCATGTTACGTCATCGCCCCCGTTGTAGCATGTAGCAATCCTGATGTACTCATGCCCCGCATTGCGCAAGGGTTGGGTACGTCGCCAGGGTCATTCTCTTCGGCCAAAGCCCCCTTGTAGGGGGGCAGGCCCGACCTTACCATACACTTCTCTGCACGTGGCCGACCTGGGGGTGCGTTCAGACCAGAGGCTCGAAGGGAGTCTGGCCGTGGCGACGAGAAGCCCCCCGAAGGCACAAGAAGGACGGACCGCGCCCACACGAACCTGGAACCTCGAGCCTCAAAACGCCCACGCGAACATCGAGCTTTTACCAGCCTGGAGCATGTCCCTATCCCTATGCTGGGCACCTCCTCATCACGATGTCAATCTTAGGGATTCCCTTATGTTTTTAGGGCGAATCCCTAAGACTGTCATCGCCTGTTGGCGTGCCAATCTTAGGGATAGGGATACGTTCGAGGCTGGTAAGGACAGCGCCCGCACGAACCTGGAACCTCGAGCCTCAAAGCGCCCACGCGAACATCGAGCTCCGAGCCTCCCTGGGACGATCGGCGACAGGCCCCCTCCGCGTGCGCGCCGCCGACCAGGGCAGGCCCGGAGGCTGGTTCTCTGGGATGCCCACCGCCACGGGCCCTCGGTGCCCGGGCGCCGCCCTCGCGCTCCCAGTCCCCCCCCCCTGCCCTTGGGACTGTTATGTCGCAGGCCTAGAGGTTGACACCAACACCAAAATCGGCGGTGTGCTTCCACCGAGGGAGGATGATCCCGATCTCGGTGATGGTGGTAATGTTCTGGCTTCCAAGGTGATCGAAATATTGCCACGAACACCGAAATCTAGGATCATCTTCCCCATGTGGAGGCAACCCCCTGTGTTGGTGTTGGTGTCCATCTCTGGGCCTCCCATTATGGGCCTCCCTGTTTACGTCAGGGCTCGACCTGAGAAATTTGGGCGATTTCGTGGGCCCTCTTCCTTTTGATTCCGTGCTGCAGCCAAGGAGAAGCGAAGACAACCCGAGGGAAAGCCGGAAGCAACACGAGCACGGATAAACACCGTTTCGGTGGAGCCCTGCTCGGGATTGTCATGGGCCTCCTCTTCGCGCCCTTTGAGCCTCGACCCCTCCCGCTATAGTGAGCGCCCAGAGGTACGGCAGGCTCGCGGCGTGTCGACCCGCGGCGGCCCTGCCGCCGGCGTTCAATTTTGAACGCCGTCTGCGACCCAGAATCGGTCGATGTTGACCGAGTGACGTTTCGGAAAGACCCGATCGTTCAAGGTTCGGGGGTGGACAGAACCCCCAACAGTGACCCGTCGATTAGTGAATTGTCCGTTTTCGGTTCTCGAGATGGCGCCGTGGCCGTTATTTTCCAGGCTTACGCCGGCCAGGTTTGGGCGTCAGGTCGTTTTCACTAAACCACGTTTTACTGAAGGGGGGTCTGTCCATCCCCGAAAGGTTGAACGATCCCCGCGGGGTCAGACACTGATGCCGGGGTCGACACGACACGAACCTGCCGCAACAGGAGAGAATGGGAAAAGCGAGAAGGGGGGCGGATGCCTGGGGCCTGGGAAGCGGGAGGAGGGAGGGGCAGCCGAGCTCCAGCGCGGTGCGGGTGCAGAGACGGACCGAGTGTGGGCCCCACCCTCCCTGGGGGGGAGGGAGAGGCCCACCTCGGCTCACGAGCCTCTTCCTCCTCCAGTCAGGCGATCGCAAACATGGATCAAGGGGGCGTGGAGTAGCGACGGGCCCCGTTCCCATGGGACATCGCGGCGTTCCGCCGCCGAATGGGGCGGCGCCGCCTGCATTTTCGGGAGGGCGCCTCCCCCGCTCAGTGGATTTGGCGACCGCGCGCTGAATCCATGGATCGCCAATCCACGTATGCGCACCCCCGATCCAGGTTCAGTGGCGGGCCCCCAAGGGGAGGGCCCCCGGAGGGACGGGATCCGCCTCCGCTCGGGGGCCGCGGAGTGACTCGTGCCAGGTGTCCGAGAGCAATGAAGGCCACAGGCATAAACCAGGAGGAGGAACACACACACAGACACAACAGGTCGTCGATTCCCAGGAATAGATGGGAAAAAATGTGAAGTGCAGGGGAAGACGGAAGTGCAGAAAATATTCAAAATATTGGGATTTGGGGATCTGCGTCTATTCATGTGTGTGCTCCTGGGCCCCATACAAGAGATTCTACCAGCCTGAAGCTCGGGGAACAAACAATGACTCACATTTCTGATATCGGCGCTGGACCCTCCTCCCTAGCGCGCTCAGCGCGTCAGAGGCGCCGCCAGCAGAGCCGATCTGAAGAATCGGCGCCGACCTCCGAGTTTGTATGGCTATGTCATTGTTTGTTCTCCCACAATACCCCGATCCTTATGATTGACATCTGTTGATCTCGGCGCCGATCTGAAGGATCTTGTCAATTTCTGAAGGCGCATACTCAAGATGTGCGGATTTCTCGGACCGGGGTTGCGGCTCCCTGGCGGCGCCGCCGGCGCCGCCTTTGGTGCGGTCCGCGCGCGAGGGAGGGGGGGTCCAGCGCCAATCCAGGAGGTCAGCGCCGTCCTCCGAACAGTTTGTACAGCCAAGATGCTGAAATAAGGACAGCTTTGTTTTCGGAAGGGGCTCGCTGTTCCTTAGGTCCTTCCTTGGCTGTTCCTCAGGCGCATCTGGGGCCAAAACGGGGCCCAGTTCCTTGTTTAGCGTTCCTTGTGGTAGTAGCACGACTGTATGTTGATGCCATGCCATCTGCTTCTCGAGAGCAGGCGCTCGGGGGCTGCCTCCGCGGCGGCCTCGGAGATGGGCGAGGGGGCGGTGCGCGCGCGGAGTGGGCCGTGGCGATGGAGGGTGCCGGCAGAGCGCCAAAGGTTGTATCAGCACGACAACTACTACTGCTACTACGATTGTTACGACTACGATTTTTTTCAGTATCACAACAACAACAACAATTACTACTACTACTACTACTACTACTAATACTACTACTACTACTACTACTACTACTACTACTACTACTACTACTACTACTACTACTACTACTACTACTACTACTGATACTGCTACTACTACTACTATCACTACTACTGTTGTATCTGCACGAACGAAATAGGTACGGAAAGAAGGGGTACAATGCCCAACAGCAGTTCTTGTTCATTTTGAACAGGATTTGTTGTGTCCATCTGAGACAGAAGGCCGCCTGTCCAACAGCGGCCGCTGTTGGTTTGGGACAGAATTTGTTGTTGGTATTGTACCCATTTTTCCGTACCAATTTCGAGCGTCCAAATTGTAACCGTGGAGAGTGCGGGCGAAGAGCAGTAAGCGTGGGAAGCGGTTAAGAAGTTTCCCCCCGAAACGATCTCGCCCGTAGCGCTGTGAAGGGTTAGCTTGTCATGTGCCTCCCACAGGACCCTGGAGCCGCTGCGCCCCTATAAATACTACTACGACGGCGACGACGACTACTACTACCATTAGTACGACTTTTACTACTACTACTACTACTACTACTACTATTACTACTACTACTACTACTACTACTACTACTACTACTACTTCGACTACTACGACTACTACTACTACTTTTACTACTACTACTACTACTACAACTACTACTTCTACTCTTACGATAACTACTACTACTACGACTACTAGTACTATTACGACTGCGACGACTACTCAATAATAGTACTTTCGCTTATTTCTGCTAACTGCTACTAGTACTAGTACTAGTACTAGTACTAGTAGTACTACTACTACTACTACTACTACTACTACTACTACTACTACTACTACTGTTACTACTACTACTACTGATTCTGCTACCTCTTACTATTACTACTGCTGCTACTTCTACTTCTACTACTATTGCTACTACAACTGCTATGGGTACTACTACTACTACTACTACTACTACTACTACTACTACTACTACTACTACTACTACTGCTGCTACTACTACTACTACTACTACTACTACTACTACTCCTACTCCTACTCCTACTCCTACTCCTACTCCTACTCCTAGTGCTACTACTACTACTGCTGCTGCTGCTGCTGCTGCTACTACTACTACTACTACTACTACTACTACTATTCCTTTTACTACTACTTCTACCGCTATTACTACGACGACTGCTACTACTATTTCGACTACTACGACTACTACCAGTACGATGGTACCAGACAGCTAACCTCAATCAAAGTTTCTTTAATGTTATAGGACTATAGGGGGCTATCGGGCTATAGGGTGATGAGGCTATAAGGCTATGGGGCTATAGGGCCATAGGGCTACAGGTATAGGGTTATAGGGCTGTAGGGCTATAGGGCCATAGGGCTACAGGGCTGTAGGGCTATGGGGCCATAGGGCTATAGGGCCATAGGGCTATGACTCTATAGGGCAATGGGGCTATAATGCTACAGGACCATAGGGCTATAAGAATATAGGGCTCCGGGGCTATAGGGCTATAGGCATATATCGTGGGCCCCCAAACGGGGTGGTGACAACACCGTGCGGTGAGTCGGTAGGGGTTCGGGGTCACCGCACGATTTTGTGACTTGGGTCGCGACACGGGCCTCGAGGGTCCCAAAACCGTGCGCTGACGGATCGTAAGGTGAGGTCTTGGGGGATTTCGAGGTCATCGCACGGTCTGTCACCGCACCGTTTCGGGACTCCAAACTATAGAGCTATAGGGCTATAGGGCTATAGGGCTATAGGGCTATACGGCTGCAAGGGTATAAGGCTATAGGGCTATAGGGTTAGTGGGATAAAGGGCTGTTGGGCTCTTGGGCTATAGGGCTATTGGGCTATTGGGATATAGGGCGATTGGGCTATAGGGCTATAGGGCTATGTGGCTATAGGGCTATAGAGCTATAGGGCTCTAGAGCGATGGGTCTATAGTGCTATATGTCTATATGGCTATAGGGCTATTGGGCTATAGGGCTGTCGGGCTATTTGGCTATGGGGCTATAAGGCTATGAGGTTGTAGGGCTATGGGGCTATAGGGATATGAAGCACCACCCAGGCACCCGGGCGGGCTGCGGACATCGGCGGCAAACCCCACCTACCCATATGAAACCGCTAGGACCCCTACAGAGGCAAGCTCTGATTGGGGAACTTCTCCCTGTCGCACCCCGAGGCCAGTTTCTAGGGCGGGCCGGGCGTTACACCTGAGACTTCCTCACCATTTATGATTCTGGAGCTGAAAATTTGGCCACCGTTTCACATATGGAGGGCGGGTGGTTTTTGAAATGTGGCTCTCGCATTAGCGCCGAGCGCATTTGTTTTGAATAGGGCTATGGGGCTATAGGGTTGTAGGACCATGGGGCTATAGGGTTATACGGATATAGGGCTATGGGGCTATAGGGCTACAGGGCTGTAGGCATCTAGAGCTATAGGGCTATAGGGCTATGGGGCTGTAAGGCTATCAGGCTATAGGGCTGCAGGGCTATATGGATACAGGGCTATAAGGCTATATGGCTATTGGGCTTAGGGGCCAGAGTGCTATAGGGCTATAGGGCTATATGATCCTAGGGCTATAGAGCTACAGGGCGATAGGTCTATAGGGCTGTTGGGCTATCTCATATATTGGACACCGTATGCTCTTCTATCATACTTGGGCTTCGCGTCCTGCAATTTACATGTGAGCTTGCCCCTTCGCTCATTTGTAAAACTGATTTCGCATACCCTAGCGGACCCCCCCTCCGCATCCCTGACAGATCATACTGAGCGCGCGCACATTCGTTTATCAAAAATCATCCATATTCAACTTTTAGCAATACTTTGGACAAGGTCCACGCAAGTACGTCGTCGCGCGCGCGTGCCGTTGTTTTGTTGGAAAAGCATTTACGCATGTCAGCGAATTCCAGACCGAGCGCCTCGAAACAGGAACAACACAAATGGTTTGAGGATGCGACTGTTCAAAAGTGCTTTGCGCGTACGTCTTGCGAATTCTTACGAACGCCATGTTTTTGTCGTCATTTCCGTCGCATACGACCACGCGAGCCTTTCGCGCGCGCGCATGCCGAAGTTGTTCGAGTGTCCTTGTACGCGTGCCGCGGGCGCGGTACTACGTGCCAAATTTACCATGCTGACCACGCGCGCGTTGGCCGCGCGTTCATGCCCAACTCTGTTCCAGAATTGTCATCACCGACGCGTGGACACCATCATCGTCACTGGCGAGATCAGCATCGGCGCAATCGTTGTTTTTGCCGTGGTCATTGCCATCGTCGTCACCAGCATCGCCAGAATCATCACTGTGCTTGCCAGTGTTGACGTCGCCATGATGCCGCGCCCGCCCGAATCACCGACTCGCGCCGATGTGCCCGCGCGTCAGCGCGGCCTGCGAGACGCGTTGGGGAATTCCCAGCAGTCAGCGCCACCACGGCTGCGTGGGTCGCGCCGGACTAGCTGGCCGCTTTGCGCGCGAACTTGCTCCCCCTAGCGTGGCCGCAGCGGTTCTCCGGCCAGCGCCAACTAGTCGCCGCAATCGCTGCCACCTGCATTTTGGAAATGAAGTTGCGGGCGAATGGGCGGGATGACTGCGCGAGCAGTCGGGTTGACAACCTCGAGCGCTATTTGATTCCTCGTCCCCCCCCATCCCGAGGTTAACACGTCGTTTTTTCTTCATATCGCTTTCGTGTATGAGTCTGCGCACTCGTCCATCCAGAGTGTGAATTCGCACCGTCCCAGGCAGTGTAAATCGACCCCCCGCCGCCATCCTCTGCAAACGACGCTATGTGCGTACACTCGTTTGTAAACGTTCATCCATATTTCAAATTCCCCTTGCAAGCATCAAGAGAAACAGTGGGACGAAATGTACGCTTGCGCGCGTAGTCGCGCGCATTTCATGTGTCGCCGGGGGCTCAAAATCAAGCGCCCCGAAACACAATAACACATGGTATGGCAACGTGGGTTTTCAACACAAAAGGTATGCGCGCGCGTTCGTGCGAGTGCTTCAAACAACCATGCGTTCTTCAACATGCCCACATGCGACCAAGTAGGTCTGGCGCGCGCATGTCGAACTTATTCGAACACCCTCGCGCGCGTGTTGGGGGGGCACCCGATCCTTCCCAACCGCGCGCGCATGTCTAAATCCTTCTGGAAACTTCACCACCCACGCAGGAACACCATCGTATTCGGCGTAGTGAATATCGGCGCCGACATTGTCCTTGCCGAGGTTATTGCCATCATCGACACCAGCATCGCTAGGATCATAACCTTGCTTGTCGTTGTCGACGTCGCCTTGATCCCGTGCCCGCCCGAGTCATCGTCTCGCAATGATGTGCCCGCGCGTCAGGCGTGGGAAGTCCTTAGCGGTCAGCGCCACCGTGGCTGCGTGGGTCGCGCCATACTAGCTGGCTGCTTTCCGCGCGAGCTTGCGCGCGCCAGCGCGGCCGCAACGATGCGCCAGCCACCGCGACGCAGTCATCGGAATTGCTCCCGCATTGGCTTTGTAGAACATGTTGCGGGCGGGTGGGAAGGATGGTTGCGCGAACAGTGGAATGGACAGCTTTCGGCGCACAACATAGTTTGAGCCACATAATTCGCACCATTTTGATGGGACGGCATCTATTGCACAACGTGATCTTGCTACACAATGGTCTGGGTCAGGGTTGGCTAGGATGTTTTTTTGGGGCGGCATGTACGTATACATCTCTGTATATATGTGTGTATGTGTGTGTATGTATGTATGTAGGTATGTATGTATGCATGCATGTATGTATGTATGTATGTACGTATGTATGTATGTATGCATGTATGTATGTATGTATGTATGTATATATGTATGTATGTATGTATACATATTCGTACATATGTGTGCATGCATGTATGTGTGTATGTGTGTATATGTATGTATGTATGTATGTATGTATGCATGCATGCATGTATGGATGTATGTATGTATGGATGTATGTATGTATGTATGGATGTATATGTGTGTGTGTATGTATGTATGTATGTATGCATGCATGCATGCATGCATATATGTATGTATGTATGTATGTATGTATGTATGTATGTATGTATGTATGTATGTATGTATGTATGTATGTATGTATATATAAATATATATATATATACATGTGTGTACATGTTTATCCTGATGTATGAATATGACAACGTGTGCAGCTCGCCATTTGGAAGCACTCAACTGCGCCGTACACCGATCTTTGCTAGGCCCATCCTGGGCTCGGGATCGGTGTGTATTGGCGTTGCCAGGGTGGCATCTCCGATCCCGGGCCGAGGGTTCTCTTGACAGAGCTCGGACGTGTGCATTTTTCATTCGGCGAGGACCATCGAGGAGCATCCTTGATCATTTGGTAAAAAAAACACGCACGACATCGAAAAAAGCGCAGGGAACGGACGTGCGAGCGATGGCCAGTTCTGACCGGTCCCCCCAAAGGGGGAGGAGCGAGATACAGCGATCTCGAGCCCAGGATCGGCCCGGCCAGGATCGGCACCGGGTCGTGCAGCCACGGCCGGCGCCTCCAGAGGTGCGCCCCCCGTCGCCGCGTTCGACGTGGAGCCTGGCGATGTGCTGCTGGTGCTGAGCAGGGGCAACGTGAGTCAAGCAGCGGCGAAGCGTCCTGGCTCGCCTATAGCCCTATCAAACCATGTTCTAAGAGCCTTTTGCGGTTTCCACGAAGTGTTCTTAGTACATTTCTGGCTAGGACTGTCATGTTTTATCACATCGGGTTTCTGTTCTAAGAACAGTGCTTTTGTTCTTAGAACATTTTTGGGTTCGAAGAGAATTTCGTGGTATGACTACAGGAATGCCGGGACGGTCGGTCCCTGCTCAAGTGAAGGGGGGGGATCGGCGCAGGGTCCGAGGAGGGAAGAAGCTCTGCTGCTGCCGCACGTTTTTCTACGTTTTCTTCCTCTCGTGGGCCTCCTGGGAGGCACTCGATGCCACCGCTGGATGCGCCTCGAAACTCTGTCAGGAGGGGAAAAAACACGCAGACACAATGATTCGTCGACTCCCAGGAAAATATGGGACTTTCGAGGAGAGTCCAGCTGTGATGACGAGGGCTCCCCAGACATTTTCATCCGCTGGCGCCGAGTGGTCAGAGACGGTCGGACGCCGGTCGGCAAGCGGTGGGGTGCACGGGGAGCGCATTCAGGCACGAAGCCGAAACGGAAAGCGCGCGAGGGGGGAAGAGCAAGAGCAAGGAGCTTGCTCAGACCATGAATCAAGCAGTGGCGAAGCGTCTTGGCTCGCCTATAGCCCTACCAAACAATGTTCTAATAACCTTTTGTGGTTTGCACGACATGTTCTTAGAACATGTCTGGCGGAGTCTGTCTTGTTTGAACACATCGCATTTATGTGAGCATTGTTTTTGTTCTTAGAACTTATGTGGGTTCTACGAACATTTCGTGGTAGGACTATAGGAATGCCGGGACGGTCGGTCCCTGCTCAACATGCAGCCCCCGCGGGGATGCCTAAGTAGAACTTGCGTGCGAGCTGCCGAGCAGCGGAGGCCGAGGCCAGCTTGATGAGGAAGGCCGTGAAGAGGTGCAGGGCGCCGAAAGGAGCCACGATCCAGAACAGGGCAGGACAGAGGTACAGCCAAAACGCTGAAATAAGGAACACTTTTGACTCTGAAGGGGCTCGATGTTCCTTACGTTCTTCCGCGGTTGTTCCTCTAGCCCTTCTCGTGCACCCAGGCTTTTTTGAGCCGCAGAGGGGCTTCGTTCCTTATTTAGCATTCCTTCTTTCAGCAGCCCGAGTGTAGGCCAGGTGAAGTGGCGCACTCGTCAAATCGCGACTCAACGAGAAGGAGTCGAATGCCATTTAGAGGGAGGCCCTGAAGGGGAAACATAATGCAGTGGCCGTGCCTGAACAGGTACAGGAGGATCCGAAACGTGACGGAGCCATCGACCATGTAGAGGAAGTCCTTGAAAACGGACAGGATGAAGTGGCCGTACCTGACTGGGTGCGGGAAGTGCCGAAGCGGAGTGGCCCACCCAGGCGCTCAGAGTTGATCCAACGCAGAATTGTCGAGTATAGCCAGGACCCCGGGTAAGGGGACCCGCTTAGTGGTAGGGCCCTGGGGCCCCCCAATTGGCCAGATTCACTAAATCAGGTTTGCCGTAACTGGTGTTTTTCGGGTGACGGCAGTTCCGGTTAGTGGAAATGTGACGGGGGGGCGCCATCGGTACAAATCTCTAAGCCAGGCTCCACTAAACCCAGTTCTGCCAACGCCCGAAATTGGCCAGGCAGACACAAGGTGTGAAAGGCTGGATGGTGATGGTCAGGGAGACGCACGGGGCGCCGCAGGGCGGCGGAGCACGTGGACCGACGACCGCAGGGTGCCACCCTTGTCGTACAGCACGATGCGGACCCATGCCTAACTTTAAAAGTCGGGCCTGTCCCCCTACAGGGGGATTTTCGACGAAAAATCCCAAATGCCAATGAAATAATCAAAACTAGTCCAAAAGTAGTCTGGGGATTAGTTTGAGTATTTTTTTCTTTGGGGGGTATTTTTAGGAGTATTTTTCGAAACATTTGTCCTCGAAAGCCTCCCTGTAGGGGGACAGGCCCGACTTAAGCCTAACTCCTAGAAGGGCAAGGGCAGCGCCGGCGGGGCCGCGGGGGGCGAGGAGGGCAGCGTCATGGCGGCGCAGCCATGGAGGGAAGCGGCGAGGGAGGAGAAGGGCGGACGGCCCGAAGCACGTGGAGAAGAAGGAAAGGTGAAGAAGACGTGCGAGAAGCCCACTCACCATGCCAGAAGCTTGGCAACCGGGTGAACGGGGTAACATTGGGACGGGGTGGGGCGAGCATCCCAGGCATGACGGGGCAGCTGGCAGCGCGAAGGACCAGTAGCCCCAGGGCCCAGCGCGCGGCGTTTGGGTGCGCAGAGGGGCGCGAGGGTCACCGCCCTGAGGGCGTCGCACCCCCATCGCTCGTCATGGCGGCCTCTCTTGTTGTGCTCCCATTGGTCGCGCTGCACCGGGGTGGTACCTGAGCTGCTCCAGGCCGCCGTCTTACCTCAGCCCTTACAGTCGGCCCGGATCAGTAGGTCGACCCTGCCAGCTCAAGGGCACCCTTGTGTCCTGTGCCCCGCGACGCGTGCCTTTTTTACACTCCTATGGCGATGTGGCCCTCGGAAGGGTCTTGTTCGAGGGCGGACAGACCCCCCAACAGTGACACGTCGATCAGTGAATTGTCCGTTTTCGGTTCTCGAGAGGGCGCCGCGGCCGTTATTTTCCAGGCTTGCGCCCGCCAGGTTTGGGCCTCAGGTTGTTTTCACTAAACCACGTTGTACTAAAAGGAGGTCTGTCCATCCCCGACTTGTGTCCTCTCGCGTGTCCTGTCCAATGAAGGTCGACTGCAGCAGTGGTGCTCTCTGTCTGCCCGGCTCTGCTCTCCGAAGCTCGGCGGGCCGCTTCCCCGTCGACTCGGTGACCGTGCCGCCTCGGCCCACCGGGTGACGTCCTGGTCTGCTTCGGCCACACTTCCTGGAGCGACTTGACGGCGTCTTCCAGGGAATGGCGCAATGGATCAGGGGGCGCGCTCGCGACACGCTGGAACCAACCGACGTTTTGGCAGTGGGCGTGCCAGGCTGCCGTGACCGTGTGGCCTGCCTCGTTCTGTAGCCTCTTGATGGCCTGCCGCTCTGATTCGCCTTTCAGCAGCTCCCATGCGATCTGCTGAAAGGGCTTCCTGTACAGGGTGGGAGGTGGTGGCCTCACCCTGTGGCCTCCGTGGTCGGGCTGCCTCGCAGCGCTGGCACCATGCCAAGAAACACCCTGCTTACCTCCAGGGTGCCCTGGGTTTCTTGGGTTTAGATGGTTTTGCCATGGAGAACGTGACGTTCCCATACCAAAAATCGATGGACGTCCTTGGGTCTCAGGGTTGGGTTTCTTGTGGAAGGTTTCTTGTGGTCGGGCCCCTACTGTAGTCCCACTCGAAGTGCTGAGAGCCCCAGCTGGGCTGGGGCCTGGCCGAGCCCCGAGCTCGATACTCGGCGCAGTGCCATTGGTAGCCTCTGCTTGTTCGTCGTTTGGCGGTGGTCCCCAGGCACCGACTTCCCAGTCAGCCTCGAAACCAGGGTCAGCGGGATCCACGCTGTCTGTGCTCACGTTTGCGCGGACAGACGGAGCTTCCGAGAAGGTGATTCGCCTGACCTGGCGTTCTTTAGCTCGGCATCGCTCGGACGTGTGCATTTTTTTCTCGGCGAGGACCCTTGAGGAGCATCCTTGATCATTTGGCGAAAAAACCACGCACGAAACCGAAAAAAGCACACGGAATGGACGTCCGAGCGATGGCGAATTAGGTCTTTAGGTGAGGCCTCGGCGCTGGGGGCGGGACGCAGCTCCTCCGAGACTTGGTCGCTGGTCCAGTCCGGTCCTGGTTCTCATGCCGCGGCGACGCTCAGCGCGCCAGAGAGGGGGGCCCAGCGCAGATCCAAGAGATCCGCACGGACTGTCGAAAGCTCATGTTTGTTATATCTCATGGAACAACAATCCCGGCGAAGCGTGCCCGGGGGGATTGCCCAGGGTAGGTTTTGTTGTCGTCATTAATCAGTTTGGGTTGTCCAGGGGGATGTTTGGGGATTGTTTTTGGATCGTGACATTTTTCCATCGAACATCGTATGCCAGCCGGGGCTGGGTCGAGGATAAATCTGTTGCGGTGCATTCCAGAAGGCTCTCAGAGCGTTCCAGAACGTCGTGGGGAGGCCGCGGCCCGCGGCGCCCGAGACATGCTCCAGAGCCGCCGGATCTCAAACATTCTCGATTTATCTCGTCCTTGCTTCGTCTTAGATGTTGGCTAAAGGGAGGGGGAGCACCGAGGATATCGGCTCAGGATGTAGGGTATTGATTTGATGGGTGCATATAGGCTCGGGATGTAGGTCACGGGGGGAAAATCGGCTAGGTGGTACAGGCTCAGGATATCGCCGATCGGGGCGTACCTCCTCTCGAATCCATTGCCTAAACATACGCTTTCGACGGTCCGCGCGGATTTCTTGGACCTGCCTTGGGCCCCCTCCATGGCGTGCGGAGCGCGCCGGGGGCGGCGCCAGAGGAGTCGCAGGAGGGCCCGACGCCGATTCAAGAGATCCGCACGGACCTCAGACGGGTATATGTTCATGCCGTCCCTTCGTCCTCTCATTCTTGCCGTGTCCATGGCGGGCGTGCCTGCAGCAGCGGTAGCTGTACCCTCGAAGCCGATGGTCAGGATGGGTAATTTCCCAAGGGTATTTTTGCGTTTGAGCCTCTTTGGCCCATCCTTGACCACCCTCGATGACCCGCCGCGCTCGGAACAACAATTGACGGGCATCCTCATCGTGCACCCTCACTATCTTTTTTGATCGTATGACGCGTTTTCTTGCTTTAATGTTTGCCGTGCCCACTGCGGGCGTGTTTGCAGCAGCGGTAGGGTCGGGATTGATTCCTAGGTCGACCCTGCCAAATCAAGGGTACCCCTGGGTCCTCTGTTTCGCGACCCATGCCTTCTACATTCCCATGGTAGCGTGACCCTCGGAAGAGTCTTGCGTCCTCTCGCGTGTCCTCTCCAATCGACCCCGACTGTTGGGATGCAACTCTTGGGAGGTCAAATTCTGTTTTCGCCCTGGTCCGAAGTCCGGCTTGATCTGGCTTGATCCCGCTTTATCCGGCTTACTCCCGCGAATCCCGCTCGATCCCGCTTCATCCCGCTTAATCCGAGGCCCACTCCGGCGTAATAGCTCCCAACTGGGGTCGGGGCCTAAGAGACGGGGGTCAATGCAAACGGGGGTCAGCCAGGGCACCAGATCCTGCAGGATCCTGCGAAGACCCCCTCTGGCTGACCCGGGTTAGCGAGCCACTCGTGGCCGCGAGGCGGCCGCGCATATTGGCTGACCCGGGTTTGCGAAGACCTGCATTGCAGTTTTTTTTCCTGCATTGCAGCTTTTTGGTGTCCTGCTGACCCGGGTCTGGATTGACCCGGGTCAGAGGATCCCCGATGGGGCTTGATCCTCCCTGATCTTTCCGACGAAAAAACCTCCCAGTGGTTGCCTCCCGACGACTGTGGCGGCACCTCCTCCTCTGAGAGGTGTGCCGCCCGCTGGGCGCCGGCGCGCCCGGGGGCTGCCCGGACGGCCCGCCGCCCGTGCGGGGAGCGCAGGAGGACCCCCCCCGGAGGGCTCGCGTTCAGGAGGGGAACAAACACGCAGACACAGTGAAAGGTCGATCCCCAGGGAAATACATGGGAAAATATGGGAAGTGGGGGGGAAGACAAAAGCCCAGAACATATAGGGACATGTAAGGACAATATAGGAAATTATCCCGGCAAAGCAACCTAACAGCGATGTGTAGGAGCCTATCTGGAAGCATTCCCCTTAAGATTCAGATGAGAATCCAGTTGTAGAATTCTGCTGTTCTCGCAGTCGTAGTCGCATTCGCGATGACAGTCGCAGTGGCAACGGCAGTCGCAGTCACAGCCTCAGCCTCAGCCTGCCTCAGCCTCAGCCTCAGCCTGCCTCAGCCTCAGCCTGCCTCAGCCTCAGCCTGCCTCAGCCTCAGCCTCAGCCTGCCTCAGCCTCAGCCTCAGCCTCAGCCTGCTTCAGCCTCAGCCTCAGTCTGCCTTCAGCCTCGGCCTCAGCCTCAGCCTGCCTCAGCCTCAGCCTGCATCAGCCTCAGCCTCAGCCTCAGCCTGCCTCAGCATCAGCCTGCCTCAGCCTCAGCCTCAGCCTCAGCCTCAGCCTCAGCCTCAGCCTCAGCCTCAGCCTCAGCCTGCTTCAGCCTCAGCCTCAGTCTGCCTTCAGCCTCGGCCTCCTCAGCCTGCCTCAGCCTCAGCCTGCATCAGCCTCAGCCTCAGCCTCAGCCTGCCTCAGCATCAGCCTGCCTCAGCCTCAGCCTCAGCCTGCCTCAGCCTCAGCCTCAGCCTGCTTCAGCCTCAGCCTCAGTCTGCCTTCAGCCTCGGCCTCAGCCTCAGCCTGCCTCAGCCTCAGCCTGCATCAGCCTCAGCCTCAGCCTCAGCCTGCCTCAGCATCAGCCTGCCTCAGCCTCAGCCTCAGCCTGCCTCAGCCTCAGCCTCAGCCTGCTTCAGCCTCAGCCTCAGTCTGCCTTCAGCCTCGGCCTCAGCCTCAGCCTGCCTCAGCCTCAGCCTGCATCAGCCTCAGCCTCAGCCTCAGCCTGCCTCAGCATCAGCCTGCCTCAGCCTCAGCCTCAGCCTGCCTCAGCCTCAGCCTCAGCCTGCTTCAGCCTCAGCCTCAGTCTGCCTTCAGCCTCGGCCTCAGCCTCAGCCTGCCTCAGCCTCAGCCTGCATCAGCCTCAGCCTCAGCCTCAGCCTGCCTCAGCATCAGCCTGCCTCAGCCTCAGCCTCAGCCTGCCTCAGCCTCAGCCTCAGCCTGCTTCAGCCTCAGCCTCAGTCTGCCTTCAGCCTCGGCCTCAGCCTGCCTCAGCCTCAGCCTGCATCAGCCTCAGCCTGCCTCAGCCTCAGCCTCAGCCTCAGTCTGCCTCAGCATCAGCCTGCCTCAGCCTCAGCCTCAGCCTGCCTCTGCCTCAGCCTCAGCCTGCTTCAGCCTCAGCCTCAATCTGCCTTCAGCCTCGGCCTCAGCCTCAGCCTGCCTCAGCCTCAGCCTGCATCAGCCTCAGCCTCAGCCTCAGCCTGCCTCCGCATCAGCCTGCCTCAGCCTCAGCCTCAGCCTGCCTCGGCCCCAGCCTCAGGCTGCTTCAGCCTCAGCCTCAGTCTGCCTTCAGCCTCAGCCTCAGTCTCAGCCTGCCTCAGCCTCAGCCTGTATCAGCCTCAGCCTCAGCCTCAGCCTGCCTCAGCCTCAGCCTGCCTCAGCCTCAGCCTCAGCCTCAGTCTGCTTCATCCTCGGCCTCAGTCTGCCTTCAGCCTCGGCCTCAGCTTCAGCCTCGGCCTCAGCCTCAGCCTACCTCAGCCTCAGCCTCAGTCAGCCTCAGCCTCAGCATCAGCCTGCCTCAGCCTCAGCCTCAGCCTGCCTCAGCCTCAGCCGCAGCCTGCTTCAGCCTCAGCCTCAGTCTGCCTTCAGCCTCGGCTTCAGCATCAGCCTGCCTCAGCCTCAGCCTGCCTCAGCCTCAGCATCAGCCTGCCTCAGCATTCAAAATGTGGCCCGGGAATGGAGTTCTGGGAATTCGAACATCACGAAGTGGCCTACAGTTGGCTCCGGGCATTCAAAATCATGCCCAGCAATGGAGTTCTGGGAACTCGAAGACCACGAAGTGGCCTACACTTGGCTCCGGGCATTCAAAATCATGCCCAGGAAAGGAGTTCTGGGAACTCGAAGACCACGAAGTGGCCTACAGTTGGCTTCGGGCATTCAAAAAAATCATGCCCAGGAATGGAGTTCTGGGAACTCGAAGACCACGAAGTGCGTTACTGTTTGCTAAAAAAGGAGTCCCTCCCCGGCATCCTCCCCCGGATCGCGCCCAGACCCCCCTGGGGCGTCATGATGCTTTTTTTGACCCTACTAGAAACCTATCAGTCTTCGCTGTCAGGTAAATATAGGAACCCAGAACATGTAGGAAAATTATGGGGAATCCTTTTGTTTGTGTGTATTTATGTGTGTGTTTGTGTGTCATTGGGCCCCTCGAAGGAGGACTCCCCCAAATGGCTTGCGTTCAGTCGGGCGTGCCCCCCTACAGAGGGATTTTCGACGACAAATAAAAAATACATCCAAAATAGTGAAAGAATAGTCCAACAATACTCTGGGGACAATTTTTTCAGTAGTTTTCGACCTTCTTGGGGTATTTTTGGGGTATTCTTGTCGAACATCCCCCTGTAGGGGGACACGCCCGACAGAAGGCTTGCGTGGCGGCCCTTCGCCGCTCCACCCGCGGGGGCGGCGCAATCCGAGCCCCTGCAAAAGGTTCCTGGGGCGTCGGCCGCCATGGGAGAAGTGGGTCCCGAGGTTTTTCGCTGTCTCGTCGGGGAGTCGGGGAAAAGTGGTGGCCCTCAAAAGCGGCCCTGCAAGGGCCCCTCGGACCACCCCCCGACTTTGGCGGTGCAGGGGCACCGTATCCGAAGGATGCGGGAGGGCAAGCCACCGCGATGTATGTTGGTTGTCAGCCCCTCCCCGTCCCTCCTTTTTCTCCTAGCGTTTGCGTTCGGGCAACTTGGACGCATTCCTGCTTTTCTCTCTCCAGCCCTCCACGGGCCCCGGGACTGTCAGAAAACGACTCGGGATGAGCAGGTGGTTTCCTGGGAAGGCCCGAGGGTCGAGGGCCCGTTTGCCTCAGAACGCGTTCTCCCAATGCTGAGTAGGAGGGGGAAAAACAAACACAGACACAATTAAAGATCGATTCCCTAGAACATGTGGGAAGATATGGGAAGTGTGGGGGGGGAAGACGAAAGTCCAAAAAGTATGGAAACATATGGGGAAGCCTGTTCTTTGTATGTAATTATCTATTTGTATGTCTTTGGGCCCCCTCAGCCAAGTAAGGGGGGTGCGGCGACGCCGGCGAAGGCTCTCAAAGCTGAGTTCTGCCACGCGGAAGCACCAGTGAACTCGGCAACGCCATTTAGCCCGACTGAGTTTAGTTAATTACGGGGCGTGAAAACGACCACAGCCACTGCTTTTCTTTTGTTGCCGCCTTCCAGCCAGCAGAAACAAAGCAGTGGTTGTTGTCATTTTCGTTCCGCTTGGCACCAGGGGAATGACCACAGCCAGTGCTTCTTTCTCGGCCGGCTGGAAGCCGGCGCAAACAAGAAGCAGTGGCTGTGGTCATTTTCCCGTCCCGCGTTCATCTTGAACGATCGGGGCCGCGATCGCTTCAAGGTCGAATGATCGACGCGGCGTCGAAAACCCTCTGCGCGCGCCGTCGCCGCGCGGGCCTGCCGTGCCCTCGCCCATCGAAGATGCAGGCAGCTCGATCAGGCTTCGGAAATCGCCGGACACGTCGGCAAGTCCGACCCCCAACCCCGCTGCCTATCGATGCCAAAGGATCGATGGTTGTTGGTGATAGAGTTTGGGTTTCGCCACCTATCGTGGGGGTAGAGCCGGACATATCGAGGTATATCGGGGCAAGTCGAGGCAATTCCATGTAGATCCGGGCAGATCCAGGACGACGAGCATTCCCAAAGGGCTTACATGGCGGCTCTTCTCCGCTCGACTCGTGGGGGTAGAACCAGACAGATCGAGCTGGATCGGGGGTAAGTCTGGGTAAATCCATGAAAATCCAGGGAGGTCGAAGTACATTACACTTGAGAAAAACCCAACCAGTGGACGATTTGAAATTAGCACCATGGATCTTGAGATCGATTGTGATATCGATAATGATATCGATAGTGGAATCGATAGTGAGGACGATTGTAAGGTCGATCGTGAGACCGAGAGTGAAATCGATTCAATGAGATCGATCGTGAGATCGATCGCGAGATCGCTTATGCGATCTCTAGTGAGATCGATTGTGAGATCAATAGTGAGATCGATTGTGAGATCGATGGTGAGATCGATAGAGAAGTGGGTAATGAGACCGATGGTGAGACCGATCGATAAGAAGATCGACAAGGAACCCGGGAACACAGGAACCTCGCCGCCCTCCGAAATCGACCCGGAACCCGGAACCGGGAACCCGGGAATCCGGAACCGGGAACCCGGGAACCCAGCGTGCGACCAAAATCGGCGGGACTTTTTCGCCAAATCCTTTAATTTCCGCGAGGACCCCTTCAGTGCAAGCACTGATTGGGGAATGTGTAGGTAAGCCGAAGCAAATATTGGAGAACCTAGCACGAGTCGAAGGACGGCGCGAGTCTTTCAGCCCTTAGCGAAGGTCAATGGACATACAGCTGCGTACACATAACCTGCTGGAGCTGCGCGTGGATTTTTTAATCGGCGTTGGACAAGGGGGGGGCAGGCGCACCAGGGATGTAGGCTTAGGATATCGGCTTGGGGTATATGTTAAGGGGGCATATTGGCTTAGGATGTAGGTTCGGGGGGTGTATCGGGTAAGGGTTAGAGGCTTAGAATATCGCCGATCTGGGCGTACTGCTTCTCGAAGAAGGAACTGCATAACCATACACTTTCGATTGTCCGCGCGGATCTTTTTGGACCTGCCCTGGGCCCCCCTCCCTGGCGCGCGTGAGCTAGGGGCGGCGCCAGAGGCCCCGCCAGGGGGATCCAGCGCCGCTCCGAGAAATCAGCGCGGACCTCCGAAAGGTTACGTGTATGCCGCTTCTTGCTCCAATAGCATGGCAGAGCATGGGGATCCAATACGTGAATGCGAAGTGAGAGCACGTGCACATGGTTGCAAATCTTCTTCATAGGGGCTACGGCCCGACTCGTCCCGCCCAAATGGGCGCGGCCCTACGACCAGTTGGGCCGGATGGACGCTCGCTCGCTCGCTCGCTCGCTCGCTTCTTGATCCTCTAATTCGGGAAATCTCGTGGACGTGACAGCTTTCGCACCCCCTGGCGGTGGTGGGCGTGACCGGGAGGGGGCGGGGGATGGGGAGGAGGCGAGAGAACCCGTCACGCCACGATTCGCGCCTTACGCCTTCTGGGAAGGCGTGAGGCCCGCTCCCAGACGCCGCGGGAGCGAATCGGGACGGTCGTTCCCCGAAAGGACCACCCACCAAACCACCCCAACCCAACCCGAAGGCTTAGATTTACCCTCGATTTCCAGTGGTGGCGGGGTCGGGAAACATCGAAAAACACGCGTGGAACCCTTACCCCCCCAAACCCGAAATTCGGGTCTTCGGGTTGGGTTGGGGTGGTCTGGTAGGTAGTCACGAGAGGACCTCGTGGACGTGCTCCTGCACGCGCTGGTGGACGACGCGGCCACGGGCCTGGCGTGCGCCGCGCTGGAGAGCGGGCGGGCCGTGGCCCCGCAGGCGCTGCTGCAGGGCGAGGGCGCGCTGCTGCCGCTGCTCTCGGGCAGTGCCCCGGGCTGGGCGCCACAGTCAGGGGGCAACGACAGGGGGGGGGGGGTAACGCTCGGGGGTGAGCAGGAGCATCAGAGGAGGGAAAGGTCCTCATGCTGCTACCCTCCTCTCGTTCTCGCCTTTTTGGGCCTCCCGGGGGGGAGATTATCACCACCCACCAAAGCACCCCAACCCAACCCAAAGGCTCAGATTTACCCTCGATTTCCAGAGGGGGGGGTCGGGAAATATCGAAAAAGCACATGTGGAACCCTTACCCCCACCCGAAATTCGGGTCTTCGGGTTGGGTTGGGATGGTCTGGTAGGTAGTCAGATAACGCTCAGGGGTGAGAAGGAGCATCAGAGGAGGGAGAGGTCCTTATGCTGCTACCCTCCTCTCGTTCTCGCCTTTTTGGGCCTCCCGGGAGGCCCTCGCCGCCACCGCGGAGTTCGCTCCGGCATCTAGGCCAGAGCGTGCCCCAGGAGAGGTCCGGGGAGTAGCGGTCACGGCACCTGTTGGTCTCCCCAGGCCCAAGGGAAGGGGGGCAACGCTCAGGGGTGAACGTCAGTCGAGAGATCTCGCGGGCCGAGGTTTTCGGACGTTTCCGTCGCTTTTCGGCGGCGTGCCAGCCTCGGAGTGCCTTCAGCGGCCGCGCCCTGCCGAGGGCCTTCCGGGTGCGCCCGCATCGTCTCGAGCGGCCGCCGGGGGGACAGGCCCATGGGGTGATGCATCGACCCCAAATCGCCCAGAAATCGCCGATGTGGGGTCTGATAGCCCCAGCCGGCCCAGGACCTGGTGATCTGCGTTCGGGGGCCTATCGCCGATCTATCGGCGATGTATCGCCGATTCAAGGTCGATGGCTCAAACCGTTCCCCCTGATCGTTGCTCCTCATACAAGCGGGGTCACGAGTTCCCCCTGATGAGCGAGGTTCTAGGCTCGAAGTTCGAGGAGGTGCTTGACGTTGGGGGTCGTTTTGGATGGCTCTAGGGTTTTCTGGGGCCCCCTCAGTTTTTGTCGGAGATGGCGCTTCCAGGAAGTGGTGCCCCCCCCCCCAGCCCCCATGTGGGCCTTTCTCACGCGGCCGCCGCAGAAGCGGCCGCCCAGGGGCGTCAGCGAGAAAAGGACGAATCCGCAGGCATGCCGTCGAAACTGCACAGCCGCCCCACGCTTGCGCCCAGAAAGCATGATGGCTGGGGTGGTGGCCAAAGAGAAAGCCCCCCAGGAAAAAAGCCCTCCCCGAATGCAATGCGTAAGAAAAAGCAGCGGATAGGATATGTGTTTCGCCCGCGATATTTGGTAATTTAGGGTGGGTTTTGGGGCGTTCTAGGGCACAATCTTCTTCAGGGGAGACGTTTCCTTGGGGACCTGGCGACCAGAGCCATGAGACCAAGACAGCTGCAACCGGCTTATCAAAGGCGTGTTGGAAAAATCTTGGTTGACAAAATGACTTGTCATGTGTGGTGACCCAAACCCAGCTCGCGGGCGACAGGAGCTCCCCGAAGGCCCCTCGAAGGAGCTCTGGCAGCTCTGGCAAGGAGCCCCCTCGTGGTGGACCCCCCTTGGCACTGCCCGGTGCTCTGGCAGCGCCCGGAGTACCGGCCGCCCCGCGAGCGCCTGCCCGCCTCCCGGGCGCGCGCGCGCGCGCTGGTGGAGAGGCTGCAGGCCCCCTGGGGGAGCAGATCATACCAGATCTCCGACGCGCGTCGGCCCAGCGCAGAGGGGGGGGGGACCGGTGAGGGGGGAATGAATCTCAGGAGGCTGCTTGTTAGAAGGCGCGGCGCTCATCTACACAGGCGGCCCGGATGAGTAGGTCGACCCTGCCAGATCAAGGGTGCTCTCGTGTCCTCTGTCTTGCGACCCATGCCTCCTGCATTTCTGTGGCAACGTGGCCCTCGGAAGGGTCTTGTGTCCTCTCGCGTGTCCTGTCCAATCGAGTCCGACTGTAGACTGTAGATGCAAGGCCCGCGCTTTTCTAAGGAGCAGCCTTCTACTTAGAAGGAGCCTTCCCCCCTCCGCCTGGTTATCCCCCTTTTGCGCGCCCCCACCAGATCATCCCAGATCTCCGACGACTGGACGCGGCGGGGGTCTGAAGTGGCCCAGCACTTGTTGTAAGTCGGGCCTGTCCCTCTACAGGAGGACTATAAAACATAGTCCAAACATAGTCTGGGGATGTTTTTTTGGGTATTGTTTGAACCATGTGTGAGGTCCTGGGTTCGGGGAGGCTTTTTGTTTTTCTCTCGGCCTCGGGGGGCCGTTGTTGGGCCTGTAGGACCTGGAAAAACGGATCCGTGGTGGAACATGGCGCCAGATGGGCCCAAGGAGGGGTCCAGCAACCGATCTTGAGCGGATTTGGCTTCATTCCCTAGTGCTGACAGCTTTTCTGGGGCCCCAACCAGTTCAGATCCCCCAGACGCCTCCAAGATTTTCCAGATCTCCGACGATATGTGCATGTCTCAACCATCCTGTGGTGTTGGGCCCTCGTTTTATGAAGAGAGCGCCCCGCGTCCACACTCCTATCGTTGCCTCCCCCCTCCCTCTCATCCCCTCCTCCGCCCTCCGCATGTCAGCAATTCCTTGGGTTATGTCGGGCGTGTCCCCTTAAGGGTTTTTTTAACGAAAAATAAAAGATACACCGACCATACCCCAACATGGTCAAAAAATACTCCAAAAATAGTCCCCAGACTATTGTTGGATTATTTTTTGATTATTCATGGGGTACTTTTGAAAACATTTTTCATCGAAAATCCCCCTGACGGGGGACAGGCCCGACATAATCCTTGGGGCACACCCCTCACATTTTTTCGTGGCCCCATAGGACGCCCCAGCGAAGGCCTCGGTGGGAGCCTTCGCGTGCCGCCCTGCGCCCCGGTCGTCGCTCCCCTCACGCGGCTCGTGGCCCCACCGAAGGCTTCGGTGGCAGCGTTCGCATGCTGCCCCGTACAGTTCCGTTTTTTTTATACATGCTTTGCGTGCGGACCATGTATTAAACATGCAGGGATTTGGTATTAAAAACAACGATGAGTTCATGCATACATTTATTCCTGACTTAATCATGTAGTAAACATTTTTTTTTCAACATCCCGTGTATTAAAATCTGCCCCGTACCCATCTCTGCACACTTCGCACGGCTCGTGGCCCCAGAAGGGTGCTCCACCGACGGCCTCAGTGGCGACGTTCGCACGCGACCCCGCACCCATGTCGGCGCGCCCTATTGCACGTTTCTTGGCCCCTCAGCGAGCTCATCCAAGACGATACCAATAACAACCGTGCTTTTCTCATCTGCAGATGCTTGTGTACTCTGCCATGGTATATTTTTTGTCGATACGGGTTGTCTCAGATTCCGACTTCGGGGGCCCGCTTCTCTGCCCTGGGGCCATCGAGCATGGCTCCCGGGCGCAACGCTGGCCCTGGGGAAGTGGTCGGGATGTCTGTAGGGAAGCACGTGGTCGGATGCCTGGGCTTCGCTTTGTGCTGCTGCTTGCCTCGTGGAGCCCTGGGGAAGTGGTCGGGACGTCTGTAGGGAAGCACATGGTCGGATGTCTGGGATTCTCTTTGTGCTGCTGCTTGTCTCGCGGAGCCCTGGGGAAGTGGTCGGCACGTCTATAGGGAAGCACACGGTCGGATGTCTGGGATTCTCTTTGTGCTGCTGCTTGCCTCGTGGAGCCCTGGGGAAGTGGTCGGGACGTCTATAGGGAAGCACACGGTCGGATACCTGGGCTTCTCGGTGCTGCCGCTTGTCCTTGTGGAGCCCGCGCCGCCACGGCCGGACTCCCGGCGATCTCCTGGCCAGAGCGCAGAGGAACCGATGAGTTATAAGTGCCACTGCTCCTCCTCCTCCTCCTCCTCCCTCTCCTCCTCCTCCTCCTCCTCCTCCTCCTCCTCCTCCTCCTCCTCCTCCTCCTCCTCCTCCTCCTCCTCCTCCTCCTCCTCCTCCTCCTCCTCCTCCTCCTCCTCCTCCTCCTCCTCCTCCTCCTCCTCCTCCGCCCTCCTCCTCCCTCCTCCTCCTCCCTCCTCCTCCTCCTCCTCCTCCTCCTCCTCCTCCTCCTCCTCCTCCTCCTCCTCCTCCTCCTCCTCCTCCTCCTCCTCCTCCTCCTCCCCTCCTCCTCCTCCTCCTCCTCCTCCTCCTCCTCCTCCTCCTCCTCCTCCTCCTCCTCCTCCTCCTCCTCCTCCTCCCCCTCCTCCCTCCTCCTCCTCCTCCTCCTCCTCCTCCTCCTCCTCCTCCTCCTCCTCCTCCTCCTCCTCCTCCTCCTCCTCTCCTCCTCTCGCCTCCTCCCTCCTGAGGAGCCCTCGTCGCCAGGGTCGGAATCCCTTTGAAGTTTGTGCAAGGCCGGACCCAGGAGAGGTCTGTGGAGCAGTGGCACCAGTGCCTCGTTGTTCCCTCGGCCGGATTCTCCTCGAGTTCTGGCCGGAGCGCACCCCAGGGGAGGTCCAGGGTGACGCGCCATCGGTACGGCAGGTTCGTGTCCTGTTGGCGTGGTTGCGACCGCAGCGCGGGCGTCCAAGGTGGAACGCCGCCGTCGGCCCCGAGCAGGCCACTGCGGAACCGGCGGTCGAGAAGCCGCCGATCGTCGGGAGCCTCGAGACGGGGGTCAATGCAAAGGGGGTCAGCCACGGCACCGGATCCTGCAGGATCCTGCGAAGACCCCCTCTGGCTGACCCGGGCTAGCGAGCCGCTCGTGGCCGCGAGGCGGCCGCACACATTGGCTGACCCGGGTTTGCGAAGACCTGCGTTGCAGTTTTTTTTTGTTTTTTTTTTTTTCCTGCATTGCAGTTTTTGGTTTCCTGCTGACCCGGGTCTGGACTGACCGGGGTCAGAAGATCCCCGAGATCATTGAAGGTCCAACGATCAAGGCGGCGTCGGAGGAGCCAGCGTGGGGGCCGCCATCACACGAAGCTGCCGCAGCTTGCACTGGCCCCCAAGGCGGGGCCCACGTCGGGGTGGCGCACCCTGGCCGGCCAGGTCGGCGGTGCGGCCGGCTCTCTCGGGCCCGGGGCCGCGGAGCCGGGGGCAGAGGAGCCCGGCGGCGGCGGCAAAGATCGGCCACGCGCAGAGGGGGGTAGGCTAGGGGGAGGGGGGAAGGCTTCTTAGAAGCACCCCTGCTTCTTAGAAGGCGCGGTCCTTATGTATAGATGTAAGGCCGCCGCCTTCTAAGAAGCAGCCTCCTTCTAAGAAGCCTTCCCCCCTCCCTCCACCCCCTTCTGCGCGCCGCCAAAAAGAGGGGGGGGATGATAAGGGGGGTGGATCTCATGGCGTTGGCCATGGGTTGGATCTCGTGGCGCCTCTTCTGATTTCATTGCGTCCCTGGCCCTCCCCCCTGTGCCGCGCACGTGCCGCCGGCCACGATTTGCGCCGCCCCCGAGCCTGGTGTGGGCAGAAGTCTGGAATTATAGATCAGTGGCAGCGCTGGTCGGAGGAGGAAGAGAATCCCATACCACTACCCTTGCCTCGTTTTGCCCCTCTCGAGCCTCCTGGGAGACCCTCGTCGCCACCGCGGGATTCGCCTCGAAACTCTGGTCAGAACGCATCCCGGGAGAGGTCCGGGGAGTAGTGCAAACGGTACATTTTGGTTCCCCCAGTTGGGGGGGTTGAGAGGAGCACGACAACGGAATTTTGTTCGCTACCGCCACCGCGCATAATCAGTATGGTGGTCATTCTTCGGGGTCGGGTCGCGAGCGTTGGACGTTCAACGAGGCATGCAAGCCATGCTTTTGTCGCTTCTCGCAGCGGTGTTTCCGGCCTCGGGGTGCATTCAGTGGCTGCGCCTCCTCGAGACCGTTTCCAGCGTTCCAGGGGTACTCCAGATTTCGTAATAAAAGGGAGGGGGTCACAACCCTCCCAGACGAGAAGTTTTAGACCCCCCCCAGACCATCCATGAAAGGGCGGCCCTTTGCCCAGACCCCCCCGAACCCTCCAAGACAGCTCAAATTAGACCCCCCCCCCCGAATGTGACCCCCCCACTTTGTTATGGAATCTGGGGTATCGATCCCCGATGGCCCGCTGATCGCCGACGGGGCCCCGGCAGCCCACCCCGCGACCGGGAGCATGCGGATTCCCTATCGGGGGTTCTCGCCGATGCGTCGGCGGCGTTTCGCCGATTCCAGGTCGGCGTGTACCTCCCTGTCGGCGGGGACCATCGGGGGGCATCTGGGGCCATGCTTCGAGAAAACAAGCGCACGAAGCCGCGAAGCGTGCACGGGGAACGGACGTCCGAGCGATGGCAAAGGGGGGACAGTGAGAAGGGACGGCCCTTCTCGGAAGGCTCGGAAGCCTTCCGGCCTTGTGGACATTTTCTGTAATTAGTCTTCTGCGGAGGGCACTGAGCAGTCACAAGGCGCGAGAGTTTTGAGGAGCGCCTCCGCCTTCTGAGGAGACCTCCCTGCCAGTTGCCCCCTCGCTCGCCGCCGACCCTGCGCTGGCCCCCCCGAACGTTCCTACTTACCGAGGAGTGCCGGTAGCACCCGCGTCGTCTTCCATCGGGAGCCTTGAGACGGGGGTCAATGCAAGCGGGGGTCAGCCAGAGCGCCGGATCTTGCAGGATCCTGCAGGGCCACGGGCCGCACTGACCCGGGCTTGGGTGTAGGATCTTGCAGGATCGTGCAGGATTTTCCGTATCTA